AATTTGTTTTATACTCCGATGAAGTTCTAATTTCCTCACGTTTTCCATTTTGGAGTTATTGAAATTTCTTATCATTGAATTTCATATTTTTTTTTTTGCAGCCCATTTAAAGATCTGGTTGATGTCCGCCTGGAGTCTTGCAGTGTCTTCAATGGAGAACACTCTCATGCAAATTAGGGTGTCAACTGGAAAAGAAGACACGGCACTGTGCCTAATATCTCTGTCTATGTCTGATATGAGGATATGAAACAAGATGGGAGCGAGTACTGTGCCTTGTTGCACAAAGCTTTTCACCGTATCCTCCTCAGACTTTACTCTGTTGACTACTACTCTTTGTGTTCTATTAGCCAGGAAATTTTAATCTCATTATCAACTTTCTGTTATTCCTTTATCACGCATTTTGTGTTATTACGCCACGGTCACACTAGTCGAAGGCTTTTACCAAGTCTGTGTATATTGCATCTGCATTCTGTTTGTCTTCTAGAACATCCAGGACCTTGTCGTTGTGGTCCAGTAGTTGAGACAGACAGGAGCGACCTGTTCTAAACCAGTTGCCCTGGGTTGTGTAACTGATGGTATCTCGGGGGTGACCTAGCTACTTAGGACCCTTATAAGAGGTTTTTATGATATGGGTGTTAGCGCTATGGTGATAGTTTCTTGCTGTTCGTTACTGCCCCCCTTGTGGAGTGGGGCATTTCTGTTGTTTAGTAACTGTGGGACGACCCGGTGTCCATGCTTCCCTCTCCTAGTATTAGGACGACCCTGTGTCATGCCTCCTCTCCATAGTTAACTGAGGATGAACCTGTGTCATGCTCCTCTCCATAGTAACTGTGATGGACGACCCTGTGTCCATGCTCCCTCTCCTCTAACTGTGGGACGACCTGTGTCCATGCTCCCATGAGTTTTATTAGTCAATAGTTGATGCCATATACCAGTATTGAACATGATCATTGATGAATATTTGACAAATAGTGTTGTACCATGGAGTCTTATTGATGAATAAATTGAAACCCAGGTGTTACATGAGTCTTATGATCAGTATTATACCCAGGTGTTTGTACATGAGTCTATTGATCAGATATATACCAGTGATGTACATGAGTCTTATTGATCAATATTAAGTACCCCAGGTGTTTGTACATGAGTCTTATTGTCAATATTATACCCAGGTTGTAATGATCTTATTATCAATATTAATACCCAGGTGTTGTTCATGAGTTTATTGATCAATATTATACCCAGGTGTATGTACATGAGTCTTATTGATCAATATTGTATACCCATTGTTTGTTCATGAGTCAGATTGTCATATTGTACCAGGTTGTGTACATGAGTCTTATGATCATTTTGATACCCAGGTGTTGTACATGAGGTCTTATTGATATCAATATTAAACCCGTGTTGTACAGAGTTTATTGATCAATATTGATACCAGGTTGTGTACATGAGTCTTATGATCATATTGATACCCAGGTGTTGTACATGATTTATGATCAATTGGATACCCAGGTGTTGTACATGAGTCTTATGAGTCAATATTAAACCCAGGTGTTGTACATGAGTTATGTGATCAATTTTGTTACCCAGTGTGTTGTACTGAGGCTTATTGATCAATATTGGAACCCAGTGTTGTACATGAGTCCTTATTGATCAATATTGATACCAGAGTGTGTCATGAGTCCTTATGATCAATTGATACCCGGTGTTGTACATGAGTCTTATTATATTGAACCCAGTGTGTACATGAGTCTTATTGACAATTTAATACCAGGTGTGTACATGTTCTTATTGATCAATTGTTACCATGTTGATGTACATGAGTCTTATTGATTCAATATTGATACCAGGTGTTGTACATGAGTCTTATTGATCAATATTGATACCCAGGTGTTGTACATGAGTCTTATGTCAATATGATACCCAGGTGTTGTCATGACCCTTATTGATCAATATGGATACCCAGGTGTTGTACATGAGCCCTTATTGATCAATATGATACCCAGGTGTTGTACATGAGTTTATTGATCAATATTGAACCAGGTGTTGTACATGAGTCTTATTCATCAATATTGATACCAGGTGTTGTACATGAGTCTTATTGATCAATATTGATACCCAGGTGTTGTACATGAGTCTTATTGATCAATATTGATACCCAGGTGTTGTACATGAGTCTTATTGATCAATATTGATACCCAGGTGTTGTACATGAGTCTTATTGATCAATATTGATACCCAGGTGTTGTACATGAGTCTTATTCATCAATATTGATACCCAGGTGTTGTACATGAGTCTTATTCATCAATATTGATACACAGGTGTTGTACATGAGTCTTATTCATCAATATTGATACCCAGGTGTTGTACATGAGTCTTATTCATCAATATTGATACCAGGTGTTGTACATGAGTCTTATTCATCAATATTGATACCCAGGTGTTGTACATGGTCTTATTGATCAATATTGATACCCAGGTGTTGTACATGAGTCTTATTGATCAATAAATACCCAGGTGTTGTACATGAGTCTTATTCATCAATATTGATACCAGGTGTTGTACATGAGTCTTATTGATCAATATTGATACCCAGGTGTTGTACATGAGTCTTATTGATCAATATTAATACCCAGGTGTTGTACATGAGTCTTATTGATCAATATTAATACCCAGGTGTTGTACATGAGTCTTATTGATCAATATTGATACCCAGGTGTTGTACATGAGTCTTATTGATCAATATTGATACCCAGGTGTTGTACATGAGTCTTATTGATCAATATTGATACCCAGGTGTTGTACATGAGTCTTATTGATCAATATTGATACCCAGGTGTTGTACATGAGTCTTATTGATGAATTCATGTAATTTCCGGGACACTTATTTAAACAATGTTTCTACTGGGCTTTACTGACTAGTAATTCATGTTGACATGTAATGTAATATATGTTACAGTCTGACACTTGTAATATTATACATGTTACATATTTATTTTTCAGGATTCCTGGTGTTGAGTTGAAGTGTCCTGAGCCATCAGCAGCAACGTATCTATGAAGCAACAGCAATCATGTCAGCAACAATATCTATGAAGCAACACATCAGTGTTCAGTAACAATATCTATAACAACAATAATCAGTTCAGGACACAATATCTATGAAGACCAGCATCAGTGTCAGCAACAATAATCTATGAAGCAACAACATCAGTGTCAGCACAATATCTATGAAGCAACACATCAGTGTCAGCAACAATATCTATGAAGCAACAGCATCAGTGTCAGCAACAATATCTATGAAGCAACAGCATCAGTGTCAGCAACAATATCTATGAAGCAACAGCATCAGTGTCAGCAACAATATCTATGAAGCAACAGCATCAGTGTCAGCAACAATATCTAGGAACAAAACAGCATCAGTGTCAGCAACAATATCTAAGAAACACAGCACCAGTGTCAGCAACAATATCTAAGAAACAACAGCATCAGTGTCAGCAACAATATCTAGGAAACAACAGCATCAGTGTCAGCAACAATATCTAAGAAACAACAGCATCAGTGTCAGCAACAATATCTAAGAAACAACAGCACCAGTGTCAGCAACAATATCTAAGAAACAACAGCATCAGTGTCAGCAACAATATCTAAGATACAACAGCATCAGTGTCAGCAACAATATCTAAGATACAACAGCACCAGTGTCAGCAACAATATCTAAGAAACAAGCATCAGTGTCAACAACATATTAAGAATCAACAGCACTGTGTCAGCAACAATATCTAAGAAACAACAGCACAGTGCAGCAACAATATCCTAAGTAAACATACAACATCAGTGTCAGCAACAATATCTAAGAAACAACAGACCAGTTGTCAGCAACAATATCTAAGAAAAACATACACCAGTTGTCAGCAAAATATTAAGAAACAACAGACGTTGTCAGCAACATATCTAAGAAACAAACAGACATGTCAGCAATCAATATCTAAGATTACAACAGCATCGGTGTCAGCAATCAATATCTAAGATTAACAGCAATCGGTGTCAGCAACAATATCTTAAGATACAACAGCACCAGTTGTCACAACAATATCTAAGATACAACACATCGGTTGTCAGCAAAATATCTAAGAAACAAACAGACACCAGTGTCAGCAACATATAAGATACAACACACAGTGTCAGCAACAATATCTAAGATACAACAGCATCGGTGTCAGCAACAATATCTAAGATACAACAGCACCAGTGTCAGCAACAATATCTGAAAGCAACATCAATACCATCATTAACATTATTAACATAATCTTGCCTCTACAATACCATCATTAACATTATTAACATAATCTTGCTCTACAATACCATCATTAACATTATTAACATAATTTGCCTCTACAATACCATCATTAACATTATTAACATAATCTTGCCTCTACAATACCATCATTAACATTATTAACATAATCTTGCCTCTACAATACCATCATTAACATTATTAACATAATCTTGCCTCTTACAATACCATCATTAACATTATTACATAATCTTGCCTCTACAATACCATCACTAACATTATTAACATAATCTTGCCTCTACAATACCATCATTAACATTATTAACATAATCTTGCCTCTACAATACCATCATTAACATTATTAACATAATCTTGCCTCTACAATACCATCATTAACATTATTAACATAATCTTGCCTCTACAATACCATCATTAACATTATTAACATAATCTTGCCTCTACAATACCATCATTAACATTATTATCATAATCTTGCCTCTACAATACCATCATTAACATTATTAACATAATCTTGCCTCTACAATACCATCATTAACATTATTAACATAATCTTGCCTCTACAATACCATCATTAACATTATTAACATAATCTTGCCTCTACAATACCATCATTAACATTATTAACATAATCTTGCCTCTACAATACCATCATTAACATTATTAACATAATCTTGCCTCTACAATACCATGGCTGTAATAACAAAAGAGGAAAATAATGGCTTCAGAATGCTGAAAGCTTTGAGTGAGTGTGGGAGACGAGTGTTGCATCAGACGTTCCGCTGGGGAACACCAGATAAACCTGCTACTACAACACTTGATCATTACTTAAACAACTTGAGACAAACATCATCTGCTAATTACTTAAAACTCAAAAGTAAAGATCGAAAGTTTGACAAAACACAAAAGAAACTGATAAGTAGAAGTTCAAATGGAAGAAAGTTTGATGTTCCACTACTGTGTAGGAGCATTAAACTTGCTTGTGAGAATGTTGCTCCTCTCAGTGATCCAATATGGATCACTGCCAGTACACAAATGGAGTACTACGTCACTGCCATAAACAACATGAGGAACGATGCTGTTCACGGTCCACTTGCAGTTACTGATGAAGATTATTATGAAAATATGAGAAAGCTTCGTGAGTTGTTAACTGGTTGTGTTAAGACGTCTGGAGAGAGGTATGGGAGAGACCAGGATGATGTTAACAAGGAGATCCAGCAGATGAATGATGACCTGGACTACATCATGGATGAGATTCTCGGTGAGGAAGATATAATGAAGTATTGTATTGATGACATAAAACAGATTATCATTAAAGACAGTTGTGTTACGCTGAAGAAGATCTTACAACAAATAACTTATATTAACCCAGTATCTTTTATCACTGACAACTTTCAACTTGAAGTAGACAAAATTTTTGTCGATATTGAAGTTAAACAAGGAAGACGTAGAGGTAATAATGAACATATAGATTATGTAGACCTTCTCTCACTTGTCCAGAAAACATGTGTGGCTTCATGTGTGAGCTTCTGGCTCACAACAACAAGGTTCCTCTGGACGGCCGCAAATACTGTTGCTTGAAGGTGTTGCAGGCAGTGGCAAGACCACTCTAGTGAAGCTAATAACTGACCAATGGATACAAGGTGGTCAAGGTAACATCAAGGACTTAGATAATTATGATCTCTTACTGTGGGTACAGTGTAGGGACCCGACTATCAACTCCAACCATCATCTTCTACACCGACTATTACCAGATGTTTCAGCAAAATTCAGAAACATTCTGCCTAAAATACTCAAGCTTTGTAAGGTAATAATAATAGTTGATGGTCTGGATGAACTCAATAACAACTCCAGAACACTAGTCAAAAGTCTTTTACTGGAATTCCAAAACTCTGTTAACACAATTTTTATCTGCACCTCAAGACCTGAAGCAGTTGAAATGTTCAGCTTAACGATCCCTGAAGATTATCATGTAACTAATGCTGAACTACGAGGCATAAAGGAGGAACATATGAAAGACTTTGTGCGTCGGACTCACCAGGAGATAATTAAGCTGACCAACAGTAACACAAACACTGTTGAACTAGTAAATAAGGTGATGAATGTTACAGGTCTTCACCAACACTTACGTCTACCAATGAATTTAACATTTATTGTTTACATCTTGGACCAGGAACCTGATGAGTTAAACATAAGAACAATAACACAAACGCAACTCTATCATAAAATACATCATATGTGTCAAAGTAAGTTATTAGAGAGATTAACGAACTGTTCAAAGATCAAGGTGATGAATGAAAGTACTCTACAGAACAGTGTTGAAGAAATATTGAAGATAATATACGCGACATCACTAGAGAGTCTGTCACGTGACCAGTTGAGTCTTGAAGAAGAGACTGCAGAAGAACTAATATCTGTTTGTAACAAACATGATATACCTTACCATGAGATGCTGTCTGCTTTTTTGAGTTTGAAGCCAATATGGACTTGGCAAGGCATCGAGGAGCGCTACTCTGCACCACACAAGGGAATCCAAGACTACTTCAGTGCTCTGCATATTGTGATGACACTCAAGTACCAGCTGGAGTCTTCACCACTCCCTGTCTTGTACACTCAACACCCAGCACCACCTGTATCTTCCCAACCACCTGTGATAACTGTATCACCATCACCACCTGTGTCTTCCCAACCATCTGTGATAACTGTACCACCATCACCAACACCACCTGTGTCTTCCCAACCATCTGTGACAACTATGTCACCAACACTAACTATGACGTCTCCACCACCTGTAACAAGTATGTCACTATCACCAACACCAGCTGTGACTTCTCCACCACCTGTGAAAATTATGTCACCATCTCGTACTCAATCTCCATATTCACCGGTTACAGCTTCACCATCCTCACCTTCACCAGCACGACCTACACCCACCTTACTTACACCTTCACAACCTACACCCACCTTACTTATACCAGCATCACCTATACCAGCACCACCTACACTAGCATCACCTACACCTGCTTCACCTATAACCTGCACACCTGACAGTATCAGGGGAATGTTAGAAGAGAGCGTCATGTCAGCTACACCTGCCTCAGCTACACCTGACACACCTGTCAGTATCAGGGGAATGTTGAAACAAAGCATCAGGTCAGGTGTGGTAGACATGAACAAGTACCAGAATGTTCTGATACATGTGGCTGGGCTGCTGTACCTGGTACTAGGCCAGGTACCTGAAACACCTGGACGGGAAGTGGTTCATCTCCTACAAGAGTCTGGTATGAGACACAACAATCAGTGGCTCGACCTCCTTGACAACACTAACATGTCTCCAGTTACTGTCAAAGAAATATCTCGCTTCTACAATACTGAAGAAACAATTGACGTAAGTGATGGACGTCTGAGAAGCTACGCTGCTCTCCTGCCACACCTCAGCTCCTGCAAGGTGAGGATTACTATCCATGGTGACCTTGGTGACCTGCCTGACCTGCCTGACCTGTTGGCTGCCCTCACCCACCACCACTGTACACACCTGGCACTGTGGTACCACTACCATCATGCTGACAGAGGCACCACTTCTGACAACCAGCTGCAACGTCTACAACCTCGGTGAGTTGTTGCTATTGTTAATAATGTAACTCTATATAACATTATCTTAATAATGTTAAAATAATGATAATGTTATCATATACCATAACGTTATTAACATTACTAATAATGTTAGGATAATGTTAATATTCTCACTGTATATATAAATATAATATGTTATATTTGTCTAAATATTGTAGGTGTTAACATTGTTGTCGGTGTTAATATTGCTGTTGTTATTATTGTTGTAGTGTTAACACCGTTGTTGGTGTTAACATCGTTGTCGGTGTTAACATCGTTGTTTTAACATTGTTCTTCTTGGAGTTAACATTATTGCTGGGGTTAACATTGTTTTTGGGGTTAACATAGTTGTTGGTGTTAATATTGTTGCAATGTTAACATTGTTGTTGGTGTTAACATCGTTCTTGGTGTTAACATCGCTATTTATTTATTTATTTATTTATTTATTTATTTTACGTCTTTGCAAACAGTACATTGAGATTTTATATTTACAATAGTGGGATACAATAGTGGGATACAATAGTGGGATACAATAGTGGGATACAATAGTGGGATACAATAGTGGGATACAATAGTGGGATACAATAGTGGGATACAATAGTGGGATACAATACGAAGAGAACCTCTATTATGCCTTGGCATTATGGGTCAACTTAACATTATTGGCTTACAGTCTACTTAATACTAAGGATTAGTATATCATAGTTGTACAGTAGGATAGTAATTATTTCATAGTTTTACAGTAGATTATTAATTATAAATGAATCAAAATTTGTATAAGACAAAAGATTTTTTTTTTTTTTTTCAACAAGTCGGCCGTCTCCCACCGAGGCAGGGTGACCCAAAAAAGAAAGAAAATCCCCAAAAAGAAAATACTTTCATCATCATTCAACACTTTCACCACACTCGCACATTATCACTGTTTTTGCAGAGGTGCTCAGAATACAACAGTTTAGAATCATATACGTATAAAGATACACAACATATCCCTCCAAACTGCCAATATCCCAAACCCCTCCTTTAAAGTGCAGGCATTGTACTTCCCATTTCCAGGACTCAAGTCCGACTATATGAAAATAACCGGTTTCCCTGAATCCCTTCACTAAATATTACCCTGCTCACACTCCAACAGATCGTCAGGTCCCAAGTTTCCATTCGTCTCCATTCACTCCTATCTAACACGCTCACGCACGCTTGCTGGAAGTCCAAGCCCCTTGCCCACAAAACCTCCTTTACCCCCTCTCTCCAACCCTTTCGAGGACGACCCCTACCCCGCCTTCCTTCCCCTATAGATTTACATGCTTTCCATGTCATTCTACTTTGATCCATTCTCTCTAAATGACCAAACCACCTCAACAACCCCTCTTCTGCCCTCTGACTAATACTTTTATTAACTCCACACCTTCTCCTAATTTCACACTCCGAATTTTTCTGCATAATATTTACACCACACATTGCCCTTAAACAGGACATCTCCACTGCCTCCAACCGTCTCCTCGCTACTGCATTTACCACCCAAGCTTCACACCCATATAAGAGTGTTGGTACTACTATACTTTCATACATTCCCTTCTTTGCCTCCATAGATAACGTTTTTTGACTCCACATATACCTCAACGCACCACTCACCTTTTTTCCCTCATCAATTCTATGATTAACCTCATCCTTCATAAATCCATCCGCCGACACGTCAACTCCCAAGTATCTGAAAACATTCACTTCTTCCATACTCCTCCTCCCCAATTTGATATCCAATTTTTCTTTATCTAAATCATTTGACACCCTCATCACCTTACTCTTTTCTATGTTCACTTTCAACTTTCTACCTTTACACACATTCCCAAACTCATCCACTAACCTTTGCAATTTTTCTTTAGAATCTCCCATAAGCACAGTATCATCAGCAAAAAGTAACTGTGTCAATTCCCATTTTGAATTTGATTCCCCAAAATTTAATCCCACCCCTCTCCCGAACACCCTAGCATTTACTTCCTTTACAACCCCATCTATAAATATATTAAACAACCATGGTGACATTACACATCCCTGTCTAAGTCCTACTTTTACCGGGAAGTATTCTCCCTCTCTTCTACACACCCTAACCTGAGCCTCACTATCCTCATAAAAACTCATAAAAGATATATTCATATATTTGAAAATGCTTTTTGTGAAAAACAATGGATAAAAGGTTCAAAGTGATTGTTGAAGTTATGATGTGGGAGTACATAGGTGAGTAAGTGTGTACTGAGTATTTAGCGTTTAGTCTAGGGTGATTAAGTGGCTTTTGAGAAGAGTTTTAAATTGATTTTCAGACTGGGTTACTTTAATATTTTCTGGTAATGAATTCCATATTTTGGGGCCCTTTATGTGCATAGAGTTTTTACACAGTGTGATATGGACACGAGGTATATCAAAAAGAGATCTGTGTCTTGTGTTGTGGTCATGTGTCCTGTTTAGGTTGGTGAGGAGAAGTTTGAGTGGAGGGTTTATATTTGCGTGTATTGTTCTGTGTATGTAGTAGGCACATGAACAAGTATGGATGTTCTTAATGGTGAGCAGATTCAGACTTTTGAAAAGTGGGGGAGTATGCTGGTGGGAGTGGGAATTTGTTATCATTCTTACTGCTGCCTTTTGCTGGGTTATTAGGGGTTTTAGGTGATTGGATGTTGTTGATCCCCATGCACAAATTCAATATGTAAGATAAAGGTATATGAGTGAATGGTACAGTGCCAGGAGAGCTGATTGTGGAACGTAGTACCTTATCTTTGATAGTATGCCTACAGTCTTGGAGATTTTCTCGGTGATTTGTTGTATGTGTGTCCGGAACTTAAGGCTACTGTCAAGGTGGATTCCTTGGAATTTTTCCTCTGTGAGTCTTGTGACTGATGATCCATTTAGCTTTATGTTAATTGGATCATTTCGCAGCTTTGTTTCCAAACTGAATGAAATAGGTTTTATCAGTGTTCAGGGTAAGTTTGTTAGTCATCATCCAGGCAGATATTTTCTGTAATTCAGCATTGACTGTGTTTGCTAGTATGACTGCGTTTGGGTGGGAAAAGACATATGTAGTGTCATCTGCAAATATTATGGGTTTTAGTAGCTGTGATGCCTTCGGTAGATCATTGATGTAGATGAGAAAGAGGAGTGGTCCAAGGACGCTTCCTTGTGGGACTCCTACTGTGGTTGGTTGTTTACCTGGAGTTTACCTGGATTGAGTTTCGGGGGTCAACGCCCCCGCGGCCCGGTCTGTGACCAGGCCTCCTGGTGGATCAGCCCCTGATCAACCAGGCTGTTGCTGCTGGGTGCACGCAAACCAACGTACGAGCCACAGCCCGGCTGATCAGGAACTGACTTTAGGTGGAAGAGTTTGCATCATTTGCATACATATCGTAGGGGTTCTTAAATGGAGATATCGAGGGTTGAAGGTAGACACACTTGTTGGATGGTAACGATATATTGTCAGACTGTGATGATGGAAGATGGAGCCCAGCCTCTGCCTTGTCCTAGCCTATGTCAAACGCCGACTGAGGCCGAGGTAGCTAGCTTGCCTCACACTCAAGCTGTATCCCGTGACGTCACACAAACAGTCACAGGCCTAGGGATCTCCTATCTAAAGGACATGGATGATACTGATATGCTATACAACACAGGGATCAGCAACTATGCTGACAGCTCGGTCATGTTACGTATGTCGTCTCGACATACACTACTATCTATAGGCTGAACAGGCAGGTGGTTCTGGGCTGATTCTATACAATAACAAATTCATATATAACTTAGAGCTAAGGGATGGTATCATACTGGATGTTAACAAAATGAATTTTACATAATGGGTGTTAACGTAATCACTTTTAACGTAATGATTTTTAACATAATGCATTACAAACTTTAAAAACAAATCATTGTACAATATGGGATAGAATTGATCGATCAATCTGCATTCATGCACTCTATGGATTCTGAGGAAGAATAAATATATATATACAAGGTGAAATTAACAGCAAAGGCATCTGGTGTGCACTCAGATCATTACTGTCAAATTCTCAGAATACAGAGGGAACGTGAATACGAAAAAAAAAAAAATTCTGAAAAACTAATTAGTTAATAACAAACAGCTGACAATTTACTTCATCTTGGACATCTAGTTATACAGACTATGTACATTTAAACCCAATTCTGCGAGGGTGAGGTTTACATATGCAGAATGGTTATCATCTCCGGGAGGATCGAATTCCTCTGCAATGGCTAACACATGCCTTGACTGAGGGAGACTTGAACGAGTATCTACAAAAGATACTTGTGGGTTTCTCATTACTTGTTGAGCACGCAAGGAGTAACGACATTCAGGTTGATTATCTGACTGATTATCTGAGGTAGAGGGTACAAAGTCAAGAGGATTTTCAGCATCTGTCACATTAGTCTGGGTAGCAATATCATCAACATCGCATACTAATTTCATATGATCTAAATGCGATTCTTTGTACTTGCCAGTACTAATTTCTCTAACCTTATACTTATTACCAGAGATATGTTCAACAACTCTATAAGGTCCGACAAACTTTTGATCGAGCTTAGGCATTACGGATGTTTTGTTGAAATTTGTCAGCATTACTCTCGAACTACTTTTATTTTGATGGCTTAGCACGGCTATTAGTTCTCTGTAAATTTGTGTTGATTTATGAAGTGTTTCACGATTCTTCTAAAAACATTTGAGCCATGCTGGTACGAGTTGCTACAAATCTGGGGTTTTGTAATTGGTTTCAGAGGGGAAATATAAAAACATAGGGTAAACGCTTGTCTACCCCCTACAATGCTAATTTGGAGTATCCCCTTGGGAAGTTTGTAAGCAGAATTTATGGCACTTGAACATCGGTATGACTTCTCTCAAGTTTCATATTGGGGTTGATGTGGTTCAGGACATCAAGTCTTTTTATTTGGGTTTGTTGGTAACCCCTTGTGGCAGGATGATGAGGAACAATGGTGGATTTAGAGCTTGACAA